ATCATGTCGTTTATGGGCTTTCTTTTTTCTGCGAGGGGCCGGGGTTATGCATTGATGAATGAAGAAGGCTGGGGGGAGTGATGGCGGGCCTGGCGTTAACAAGTGTGTTTGAGAAAGCGGGTCCAATACACGATAGAGACACTGCTGGTGTGGGGGTTGGCTGGCGGTATCGGCCGTCATTGCCTGTGGATCTAAGCTGGGGGCGAATACTGGCGGACAGGTTACAGGGGGAGGTTGAGCTGCGGGACAAAAGGACCACTGGGGGGGGGGGGGGGGGGGGGGGGGGGGGGGGGGGGGGGGGGGGGGGGGGGGGGGAGGGGGGGGGGGGGGGGGGGGGGGGGGGGGCGCGGGAGAAAGGTGTTCGTTTCCGGTGGGAGGCGTGGTTACTTTTAATTGTAAGTGTTGCTGTCACTATGCTTCGTCGGGTGTTTTCACGGCGTGCTTCTGCTGGTTTACAAGGCGTGTGTGGCTTGTTTTCTTGTGCTTTTTTGCAGGCACGCGCCCGCGGGTTGCGCGGATGGGGATCCTGCGGGATTCGACCTGCTATGCGAGGGGGGGAATGGGGAATCTTGTATTTGCGCATCTTATCCCGATTTTCCGTGTCTCGACGCACTTGAATTTTGCGAATGTCCTTTGCTCTCTGACTTCTTGTGGGTGGGGGTTGATTCAAAGGTGTGCAATTGTATTATATCCACAAGTTCCGTTCGAAATGTCCATCTGAACCGTCCTTTGCGATCTCCTCGCGGGTTGTTCTTGTGCATTTGCCTATTCTGCTCTGTTCTGCGAGGTGACGTACATTCCAGCCTTGCCACTTCCATCGTCGGGCCTGGCCACGCAAACAAAGCCGTCCCTTGCGCCCATTCCACGGCCTACCTGGCCCCGGAAGTAGCCATTGCCCATTCCCATTCCCCATTCTGTCGCCCCGGCCTACGCTTGCAGCGCAGAATGCGTAGCGGGGGGGGACCATAAAGACCCAGCCTTGTCCCCGGTGTCTCGGGTCTCGGGGCCAGCGTAGAGGCTTTGTTCACCGACCTTCATATGCCCGTCATGCGCGTCTCCGGTCCCTCCTCCGCCCGCACTAGCAACTCCCAGCCTTGCTACAACACCGCCAGCACGCTCGACAGCATGATGCACCACGCCCCTCCCCCCCCGAATTCTCCTTGGGCAACGCGCCTCTTCCCCCCCCTCCTGCACCTCCGGCGCGTGCCCACGCCCATTCCGAAATGGATCCTCGCGCTGCGGCTCTTCGAACTCCTCATCTCATCCGCCGTGCTGGCAATGTGCATCGTCACGCTGCTCTTCGACCGCAGCGCCAAACTCACGCCGCCCCTGGTAGCACTGCTCATTACCTCTGCGCTGAGCACGGTGGTTATACTCCCGTATGCGCTGTGTGTGCGGTGGGCGGATGCGCGGCTTGTGCTGTGTGGGGATGGGATTGCGTGTCTTCTTTGGGGGACGGGGTTTGCGGCGTTGGGTGCGGTGCAGAGGAGTGATGTTTGGGTGTTTTTTGGGTGCGTTGGTTTAGGTTCTCCTGGTTGCCTTGGAGGGGATGCTGATGGGGGTGCAGGCAGTTGAAGAAACCAGTCCCCGGCGTCGTGTTCCCGGACCAGTTGCACCACGTGGTCCTCGCGTGGCAGACGGGGTTGGCGGGGGCGTATTTGGGCGCGTTTGAATTGTGCGTTCCCTTCCCCCCCTCCTTCCATCCAACCCAAGCTAACCCCTCCGCAGCGGCCTCTTCCTCCTTACAACACTGTGCTCAGCATATTACTACCACAAAGCGCTTGTGCGCGATGCGGTCCGCCCCGGACCTATGGTTTGGCCGAATGCGGTGCGCGGTGGGCAATGGGCGCCGCGGGTGGCGAGTGGGGTGCTGGATAGTCCTGTGAGTGGATTGTGGGAGGGGGAGGGGGAGAAGTTGGTTGTTCGACATGCGGAGCCTGGCCAACAGGTGCCGCCGGGGACGGCGAGGAGTGAGGGGGGGGGTTGGGGGTATGCACCTGGACGGGTTCAGGGTGTATATCAAAGGGGAGGGGGTTGGTGATGCTTCGATTTCTTCTTTCTTTGGGGGTTGCGGGATGGTGTTTGCAGATGGTGTTTACTTTGGCTATGTTCTCTGGGGGTTAGCTTGGGATTAAAGGGTTGGGTTTACTTGAGGGGAAGGGATGGGATGGGATGTTGTATCTTGGTTGCGTTTTGAGATATCGAATTTGAGCCGCGTGTCCGTGGTATGTTCCCAAGTCTGTCTCAGTGTGACAATGTGGGCCAGCATGTAAAATGTGTACACGTTCGGTTCGAAGCGTTGATCGTATATCAGGTGGTAAAACGAGCTATACAGTTCTCTTAGCCTTATCTCCCAACTCCCACCAACAAACAACAAAACCCCATCCCCAAAACACGCAACAAAAAAAGGTATCCACAACGCTACAAGAGGCTTACAACATTCAAAACAGCAAAAAGTTCACCTCCCGGAAGGCTATGAAAAACCCCCCAACGTGGGGCTTTTGCGATTCGAACCCGCGACTTCCCGGGCATAAACCGAGTGGCTTCCCAGCTCGGCCATGCGACCTCGGGGTTCTCTCTACCAAAATTGATGGATAGAAAGTGCGGGCGCGCGCAATATATAGGGACATTGGGATTCATTCGGTGCTTCGCAGGTCACAGCCGGGCAGTTGTATGCTCGTCAAAGGAAGGCCATCCGCGAGTCCGATCATACCCGCTTGTGCAAGAGCGCTGTCGGAAAGGTGATGCCCCACTACGATTAGCGGATCGGACGTGCTAGGCCTGACATCAGTCAAGATCAGACGCCCCCAGCGACCGGATGACATACGATGCTCCGTGCGGCAAGGACTTCGAGCTGAGCTGTCTCGGCTTCGTTTCAACTGGTTCAACTGTACCCTCACTACGACTGCAAGTTGTTTGGCGCATGTCTGCATTGGGGGAAAGGGGATGCTAGCAGTATTCCACAGTTTGAGGGGAGCGTCGGTGATGGTACGGGCGGAGCATGCTGCCTATAAGCGTGCAAGTACCGAGCGTGCCTCTGAATGTATCCGAGGTGGTGAGTCCTGGTAGATTACTAACTGTATCCGAGCAGGAGCGCGTATCCCTAAGCCTGTAGTCGTCCTGCGGAAAATCTTCCGCGACAGTGCCATCATCAAGCTTGATTCAAGGAAGACGGTGGGCTGTTGAGCGGTGCAGTTCGAAGGTTGGCCGCCGGTGGTACTCAGCAGGGCGTGAGACTATTCGCTTTGTAGGTGGCATCATCCGGGAAGTAGACATACCTGCCCTTTCAAACTCGTATCCAAAGAGGATCGCACACACAAGAATTCGACCTAGTCAGGCCCTTAGTGGAGGTCCGCCCAAGGAAGTCAACAAAACTAGGTCCAATTCTTATATGCGCGATCGTCTTTAGATAGGAGTTTGAAAGGGCTGGTATGCCCTCTTTCTGGATGACGGAACCAATGAAGAACTGAAAGTCTCACGCCGTCGAGTGCCAGTGCTGCAAATCTTCGATAACGAAATCTAGTGAGGTTGATGGGACGTGAGGAGAGGATGGGAGGAGATGTCGTTGGGATGTCGCTGACAAACGATCGATGGGATTTGTCCGATATTAACGAAGAGTCGATCTCTTGGCGCCGGCATGTGGATTTCACGTGTTTTCCGCGTGTTCTATTGGCTCCCCGTCTGCCTACGCCATCGGTGGGGATCCGCAACACGCCTGTAGGCATGCGCAGTAACGCTTGAGAAGGGACGCTCCTAGAGACGCTTAAGAAGGGACGCTTACAGCCATACTCGCAGAGACGCCTGAGAGAGACGCTCTAGGAGGAACACTTACAGAGACACTCCGGGAGGAACGCTTATAGAGACGCTCCGGGAGGACGCTCGCAGGGACGCTCAGGAGGACGCTCGCAGGAACGCATAGATCAAGTTGAACGTGGCATAACCTTATGCGATCACATGATTAAATGAAGCGCCCGCGAAGCGGACGCCTCACCCTAGTGTCCGATAACGTACCCGCAGATGCCAAGACGCTAACTTGCTACCTGAACCGCTTGAGACACGTGGTTTTCAGCCTTACGAGTTGTTGAAAGCTCATAGAGCAGTTTGCATCACATCTGGGACGTAAAGTCGATTCAAGTGCTATTGTATTTTTATACTCTCCTTTCGCATTACGAGCTACGGATGTACATCTTCAAGAAAGACAGCGAACAGCCGCTCGCCGTCGCCTGCCGCCGGGAATCTATGGAAGATATCAGTTCGACCAGTGCCGCCAGCCCATCGTCCGCCAGCCCATCGTTCGCTAGCCCTTTCCCATGAAAGCTGGAGCCGAGAGGGCTTACAAAACGAGTCAGCAAGCTGGGCAGGCAGGATTATTCCTGTCCCGGGCGAGTGCCTCAGATACTTACGGTAGGCAGCGACGAAGGTGGCGAAGTACACACCAGCCCTTCTACCGCTTCAGGCCGGCACGCGACTGCCCAAGCTCAAATCGTGACTCATACAAGAGGTGACGACTCCACCGCCGCTGGGAGCAAAGCCGAGTTGGATGAAGATGATCGAATCGTGATGCAAGGATTATGGAGCCCCCGTTAGGCTCTGCGGAGGGTGGAAACTACTAAATGCAGTGGAAGAGTGCTTAGCAAGACTGCAGACGGCACTTGAGCTGGCAGTAGACGCATTTGCTCGAAACGGACGACGTCACGATATCGGACGGTCAGCTCGAGACAATATTGGCAGTGTCGACTGGGCTCCAGTGAAGCCGGAGGTTCGAGACTAGCTAAGCACCGACACTCGAAGGAACTTAAAGAGACTGAGACTGGAAGCCTTTGATTGCTGCATGTGGAGCAAATCGATTGGCATGTTGATATTGACAAAATTCATACGTGTCCTGAGCCGGCCGCTTCGCAAAAAAGAAAAAGGAACAACTTAGCCGCTGATTTCATTTCCCATTGCCAGCAAAAATGTGCCTCCGACGCCCCCGACTGAAGTAAGGGGATGAAGGAGCAAGCCCGCGGCGAGGAGTGAACTCGCGACCTTGGGGTTAAAAGCCCCACGCTCTGCCACTAAGCTACACAGGCAGTGAATGGAGGTAGTGCGTGAAGTTGAAATGATACAGGGTCTCGGACGCCCAGAGGTAAGAAGGACCGTAGGTTAAGTGGGATGCAGCGCTGGGCCATGAGCGCCGTGAATCGGATTCCTTGAGATCATTCCGCGTAAAAGGTTGTTCTTGTTGTGTGCTGTGGCTGGAGCAGATAAGATGCGAGACCGTCGCTTGTGATGCGTGGTGCGTGGTGGTTAGGAATCGGTACACTACGGTTGAGTCAACGTCCCCAACCGAAGTCGCAACCCATTTACGGAGCGGAAATACTATACTCCGCTCGTGTTTCCGAATGCGAGGCGGGCAAAGACGACAATCTAATCTACTGTAGATGATATTGATGAATCACTTACCGGTATATCTGCTTCTATATGCAAGCTCTTTGCGCAAGATGCTAAGCCATGTGCGAAGCCGACTCGCCGTCATGCTAGTCCTTCTGTGCCAGGGTGGTTCGCCCTTTCCGAAGTCTGTATGGGCATCTGGGTCGCCTTTCCTCGACAGCCGAAGCATTTGAATGGCCCCTGCCTATCCTTTAAAGAGAATGTGGGAATCTGCGAGATTATAAACATGGCCAGTCAGAGCCGGTAAAGTCTAGTTTCTGCTTCAGGTTTACGATTGATAGCCCCACTATTAGTACGTGCATCATTACGACCTCACGTCTATCCCGCTGTCGCCCAGAGCTCCACACCCGTAGTCCACCAGCGTCTGTCGGTTACGATTCAACCATGGCGACAAACGCTCCCACGAGCTTCCTGAAGCTCGCCGCTTTGTCTCTGGCTACGCTCGTCGCTGCCCAGTCTCCCACCGTGACCCTCGACTCGGGCGTTTACCGCGGCCTGGCGACGAGTCTTCCCGGCTCTTCCGTAACGGTGCACAAGTATCTTGGGATTCCTTTCGCAGAGCCGCCAGAGCGCTTCGGCCTTCCCCAGCCACTACCGCCCTCCACCGCCGTTAAGTCAGCGGAGAAGGGCGCGCCAGCATGCCCTGAGAACACCTCAGGGAGCATGGGCGCCTTCGGCAACGGTGCGGCAACGGAGAGCGAGGACTGCCTCTACCTCAACGTGTTCACACCGGCTGCGGCACTGAATGCCACTGAGAAGAAGACGGTCATGGTGTGGTTCTTCGGCGGCGGACTGCAGTTCGGCTCGGCGTCTATGCCTGGCTACGACGGCACCTCGTTCGCGACAAACCAGGACGTGGTGCTCGTGGCGACGAACTACCGCACCAACATCTTCGGCTTCCCCGGCGAACTCCCCTTCCCAGGTCTTCAAGCCCGCACCAGCAATCTCGGCTTCCTTGATCAACGTGCCGCTCTCCAATGGGTGCAAGACAACATCGCCAAGTTCGGCGGCGATCCCAGCAAGGTGACCATCTTCGGCGAAAGCGCTGGCGCCCGCTCCGTCGATTTTCACCTGCTCACCACGCAAGACCCGCCCTTCCGCGCCGTCATCATGCAGTCCGGCTCCGCGCACCTGTACCCCGGCACCATCGGGGCTGCACCCAAGAAGGCCAACACCACCGCCTTCCTCGCCGTGGCGGAGGCCGTTGGCTGCCCGAACGAGGGCAGCGAGGCGCTCCTACACTGCATGCGCGCCGTGCCGCTGGCCACGCTCAAGGCCGCCGTCCTAAAGAGCCCGATCCAGTTCGGCGCTGAGGACGACCAGGGCTTCACCACGCTGCGGGACTCGGAAGCGGCTCGGCTTGAACATCGGGTTGCGAATGTGAGCTTGATGATTGGGACGAATGCCGACGAGCAGAAAGCTACGATTGTTAGGGACCGTGGCCTCAGGCTGGCGGCGTTTTTGAAGAAGCAGGTGGAGGATGATACACTGCGGGCGAAGGTCGCAGGCGCGTACAAGGTTGGGGCGGAGTATAAGACGGAGTTTGATACCATGGCGGCGGTGGCTACGGATATGGCGTTTACGTGCGTGACGTCGCGGGAGTCGCGGATCAGTGCACAGGCAGGCTACCGTGGGTGCCCTCCTCCCTGAAACCCTGCCAAATTACTAACCTCACTAGCAACCTGGCGCTTCCTCTTCAACGCCTCATTCCCCAATAGCGAAGCCTTCAATGGGTCCGGCGCATACCACTCCTCGGAGATCCAATACGTGTTCGGCAATCTGAGGACACCGAAGGGTCCGTCCAAGCCGGAGGAAATCTCGCTGAGCAAGGCGATGCAGACGGCGTGGGCGACTTTTGCGAAGAATCCGCTTGCGGGGCCCGGATGGGCTCGTGTTGGCTCTGGCAATGGAAGTCAGGAGCTGGGTGAGTTCAATTATGATGGGAAGTTGCATGCGAAGAGTCCTGCGTTTTTGGACCGCCATTGTGTACTGTTTGAGGAGATTGTTATTGAGGCTGCGAGGGGGTAGTGGTCTGCGGTATTCTTCATGGGCCACTGGGCTCTGAACGTCTTCGGCTTCACAAGCGATGACAGTTCTAATTCATTGACCTTTTCCGCATCGCGCATCCTCGTCTATGCCAGATCGGCCTCTTCGAAAACATGACCTGAATACGTCACAGCTGGATTCCACAAGTCCAGATAGGTGCACTTCCATGAAGTTGACCACGAGATGAGGAAAGTTCTAACCCAAATGCTGGTTCTAGCACGATCCATTCGGTTGCTGACAGACATTCCATTCCACATTGACCTCTTATGGATGTACACAGACCCAACGTACACATCTGTACACTCCGGAAATACCACCCGTTGCCACTCCAGCCACAAAACTAAATATCAGAACTCCCTAGCTATCCACCCGGAATCACGCCCGGCCTTCCGTGCGGTACCACCTGTAACATGTATCATCCAGCCCACCATCAGCAAACGCTCCGAAACAGATTTATAAGGCCGCATCTCTCCCCTCTAGCCTTTTTTCTCACATCTCACTTTGCCAGACCCAGAACAATCCCTTCCCGTAGCCCTTCGGGTCTGATCCTCGCAACCATGGCCCCTAAACCCTTCATGCACGACCCAACCTCCACCCTCCGCCTCCTCACGGCAATAATAGAGCTCACGATTCCCAACCCCGGCAGCGTACCGTGGGACGAGGTCGCGAGCAGGATGGGGCCGGAGTTTAGCGTCACGGCTGTCAGGCACGTCTCCCTTTCCCCAGCCCCGTCAACACCTCAGCCATTCGCTCGCCCCTCCCATATTTACGAAACTAGCTAAGTTGCATAGAAACCACTGGGGCCACACCCGCCGCAACCACGGCATCCGGCGTCCCGCCACCGCTGCTGCTACCGCTGGTACCGGTTCCGAGCCCAGCACACCGCGCAAGCGGCACCGGGGACAGAGATTTCCGCCGGTGTTTGCGAGACCGGGGAAGGCGGGGCAGTTTGAGGAGGAGGATACGAGTGATGAGGAGGAGGTTGAGGTTAAGAAGGAGAAGGGGACTGGGGGGAAGAGGGGGGCTGAAAGGGAGGAGAGGGCGAGGAATAGGGAGGAGAGGGAGAGGAGCGAGGGGGAGAGGAGTGTTGAGGCGGAGGTCAAGCTTGAGAAGGGTATGAGTGGGATGGAGTTGGTGCCATTTTTGGGAACGAAGGAGGTTATTGTTATTCCGGATGAGGAGTTGGAGGAAGGGAGGTGGTTGAAGAGAAGAAAGAAGTCGATCAAGTCGGATGGGTTTATTAAGAGGGAGCCCGGCGTGCCCGGGTGGGGGCATGAGGGGGAGGAGGCCTGAAGTGGAGATGGGGATGCATTTTGGATATGGAGGACATTGAATCTAGAATATCCACCCTACGGAGTTTGGTGAGAATGTTGGCGCACTCTTGTGGCCTTTGGCTCGAAATTTCTTGGTCGGTCTAGAAGTGACTCCGGATGAGGTGCGGTTGCACGGGTGGCGATTATCACGACATTCCAGCCACAGTGGCGCCAGATGCGGCGGTGCACAGTCGCGACATTCTTCCCATCGAATTGATCATCAATCTTACCATCACTTGTAGCAAACAGACAGTACTCGCATCAGTCCCCGCCCTCTTACGATTACAGTATTTTCGCCCGTCCCGCCGATCACCAAAAGCCCTCCTGTGAGGCATCACATTCTGACAACCCCCAAGCTTTTTCGCTCCCGTCCACGCGTTCGCTGTGATACAACCCGTGCATATGCGCTACGTAACGCAAGGCGATGCACGGATTCGATCCCATTCCATGGAGATAACACCAAGATCCGAGAGCGCTGGTGCCGTGCGCCACGAGGTTGAAGTACACATCCGCTAGCGGCGGTTGATCGACGCACCCCACATCCACGATGCTCCCATCGCATCTCGCCAAACTCTATCCCTCACGCCCCTTGCCTATCTCCACCCTTTAGACCACTCACTTCCGTTCATTCCCTATCTACCCGCCCAACAAAGCCCCCCAGAACCTATCGCCCCCCATCCGCTCTCGTTCACACTTACTCCTCGTTCCCCGCCCAAAAACTCGTTCCGTGCGACAACCCCCACTCCGTGCGAACCTCCCTTCCCCGGAATGCCACGCTGGCCCGGGGGCGCAGCCTCAAGGCCGCGACCCACTGGCCACCCGCTCCCTATGGCAGGACAGTAATATACCCCCCCCCCCGGGCGGGCCCAATCTGCTCTCCGCAAGCCGCACTATCAACCGCACCGCGCGGCCGGCATCACGAATGGTAAACCCTTAGACGGGGCCTCGCGGGGCATATCAGCCCCGGGGGAGATGAAGGCCACGCGCGGGAAGGGGATCGGGTGCGCCCCAGAGCCCGCAAGAGCATATAACAGGGCGTTGGCACGCCGCTTTGACGATGGATATCGGCTAGTCGACGACTACTTTCACTCCTTTCGCCATGAAGTTCATCCTCGCTACCCTGCCCGTGCTCGTTGCGGCGCATAGCGCCGTGTGGAAGGTCACGTTTGACGGGACGACGTGAGTCGCGGCCCTGACATCTCTGCTTGAAAGCGCAAGACTGACGAAACAGCTATCCCGCCCGTGATGCCCGCATGGACCCCGAGCTCGGCGCGAAGCGT